ATATATATATAAAAAACAAGGGTTTCAGTTAACATATTGAAACCTGCTGGAAAACTTCTGACAAATTGCTACTTTCCAAAGAAATGAAACCGAATCTATGTGTTCAAAGAAAGCTCTTTGATTGTAAATATGGTAAGTTTAAAAACCAACTCTGTATATGTTGGTGTATATACTCTGCCTTCTGCTACATTTCATACTATTTACAGAAGAGGATTTTCCATCCATCTCAAGCAGAACTGAGCAAAAGTTTTGGCACCATTCTAAAATAAAACTTGTATTTATAATCCATGTTGTCTCTTAAGCACTGAAACAGCTTTAGAAAAGCTTTTAGTAGGTAAGCTTTTAGTAAACTGGTGACACGGTTATTTGAAAACCTGGGTTTTCCATTTAAAATAATTTATATAAATTCAATTTATATCCCAGTTTTCTCAAACTAAACTTTTTTTTTACATAAAAGAGAGAATGAGTAAAATGTGTGCTTTTAAAACACAAACCTATCTGCACACATTAAAAAGATCTGCTAACCTCCTTCTGCAAAACTTATTCTCTAAAATAGTCACTTTAAGCACATTGTTAAGGTGCAGGCCCAATTCTTATCATTTCCAAGGTGACAATGAGGTACTACTGGAAACAACTCAATCAGAAACAAATGCAGCTTATCAGCTACACATGAACTGGGCCAGTCCTTTCAACTTATAATATTTTAGTTTAATGCGAACTGAAACCCTATAGGCTTGATAAATTATTTTGGAAAATGAATAAAAATGTGCATGGTAATTGTTATTATAAGAAGATTACATCATGGAAAGTAAGGGTGAAATTTCTAAGATTGCCTTGGGCAGTGAGTAAGATTAAGGCTCACATCAGCTGTCCTCAAGTGAGCACAAGGATCCAACAGGAAGCTATAAGAACATGGGCTAAAGGCTGCTTTCCCCTTGGTAGCTTATACTCAGGTATGGATAAATGCATTAGTGCCAATTCTGAATGCCATACGTAAGCTGTTGGTTGTTTTTTTGTTTACAAACTACACACAATCAGTGAAAGGGAATCCATAAAAAGCAAATTACAGGCTGTGCCCAAGTACAAAAAAGTCAAGGGAAGAGCAGCTAGCTGTATGGCATGGGGGTGGAGGGAACCATGGGAGAGATGGTTATAGAAAGTTTAAAAAAAACAAAATAAAGCTGAAAGAATAAGAAAACATCGCAAATGACAGAAAGTAAAAATGCCAGGAACACCACTGAGTGGCAGAAGAAGACAAAGAGGTGGAAGCAAGGATAAGCAAGAAAAAGAAAGAGTATGCAGAAACTCTTGTAATACTATCTAGCCTTAAGACTAGATATTAATATAGCTACACCCCAACTTGTACCCCCCCAAAAAATGCATTGGAGTGCAAATGTAATTCTTCACTCCAAAGTAGGGTTTCCAGCACATAAAAGGGGAGTTCCAGGTTGGGGAAAGCAAGGTAGGACAGGACTTTATACTGTATTTAAGTATTAAAGTGGCCTTAAGAGTTTTCTCCTCATGTGGAGGAAAGACCTGGGATCTTCAGAAGGACTCCTGAGAAGTCTTTTGCTGAGGGTGGATCTGGCAAATTGGACACATTTGTCTTCTATTTTAAAAAAGTTGTTTTGGGGAGGTCCATTTAGGCATGTTCTGATCACATTGATATTAAAACACTATCAACAGGGGAGAAGGGATTTGTTTTTTTTATGATATCCTAAAGAGCACATTTATGTCTACAATTGTAAACAAGCTGGAATCTTTAACTCTACTATTCGTAGATGTAGCCAATAGCAATGGAATCCTCTCACTTATTGAAAAAAAATAGAAATAAAACCTTTTGAATGGCTGGCTTTTTTCCACTACAGGAAACAAATCATATACAATGGCATTCATGTACAGCTTTTTTCAATATAGATACAGAAACTATAGCCTGGGGAGAAAACTCAGCTCTGCTCATCCTTGCTCCTCTTAATATTTTTTCAGCCAAAGGCTGCCTGATCTCTATTCTATTCCCCTCACAGGAAAAAAGAGTCATGGTTCCTTCCATTTATGAGATATTTCTAATTTATCCTTCAGAAGAATTAGAATTAGAACAACAGAGTTGGAAGGGAACTTGGAGGTCTTCAAATCCAACCCCTTGCTTAGGCAGGAAACTCTACACCACTTCAGACAAATGGTTATCCAACATCTTCTTAAAAGCTTCCAGTGTTGGGCATTCACAACTTCTGGAGGCAAGTTGTTCTTTGATTAATTGTTCTAATTGTCAGGAAATTTCTCCTCAGTTCTAAGTTGCTTCTCTCCTAGATTAGTTTCCACCCATTGCTTCTTGCCCAACCCTCCTCAAGGTTGTCCTACCTATCCCAAGAACTAGAATAAAGATTAAATTTGAGAGGAAACCATGTTTTAGAAGAAAAAACATTGGAAGAGTTTAAAAGGGGCCTCTTTGTGCAGGCCCCAGTTCACTCCACATTGAAGTCTGTGTGGTTGCACTTGCAAAACATCTGAAAAGAAGAAGTGTGGCTGAGCTCTACTTACAGCAGGCTCTCACCCTCTAGTGCAATGATAGTTATGGCCACACTACTAAAACACCTATAAACTGGCCTTTTTTAAACACCCCCAACCGTTTCACTACTGTAAATAGTAGACTAGTGCTATATCAGTCTTGAAGAACTATCAGGCTTAAGAGGTTCCGAGGGATTCTGCACCCTGCAGAGAAAAGGAAGACTTTGAGGAAGCTTCCCACTTGGAGAAGATAAAGTAGAACGTGTTTCCTTAATTTGGATTAGTGTCAATACAGCCTGGGAGCTGCAGACAGGCAACTATGTCCAGAAAAATGCAGAGTTCTTCTATGTCGCAAGAAAGAAACAGAGAGCTCAGCAAAGATAATGGTCTTTTTTTTAATCCCCAAGATATTAAGAATGATAATATTAGAGCTCAAAATGAAAGCCAGCACTGGATTCCATATCTGTAAGAGTTTATAATACTTTTCTCTAAATTTGGTGGGCAGGAAACAGGAGAAGGAGGAGGGGTGGTTAGGAGTAAAGGCTCACCTTCTGCGCACCTGAGAAGGCGTGGTAGTAACATGAAACATAGGTCATAATGGCCTTCTCATCCGGCCTTAGCGTGCCTATAATATCTGTGCAAAGAAGGAGAAGAGGTTGAAAGGATAAAGTAAGAAGCAGCACACAGAATAAAATAAAACAGTCATGGGTGATAAGAGAGGGGGGAAACTTCCCATCATGCATTGCAGGACAGGCCAAACAGATTTCCATGCGGAGTGCTGGGAATTTGAATCAGAGTATGACTGGCAGAATTGGCTTTGTGGACTCCATGAATCTGTTACCACCACCCCTGTCAATTTTACGTGACACTATTGAACTTTCTTTTCTTTTTTTCTTTTACACAACTCCACAGTCAGTATATCCAACCCACTTGGAAATGGGCAAAATTAAGATTCTAGGAAACCAACTCCTGGCAGAAAGTAGACCGAGCAAAATGAAACAAGGTTATAACTTCTTTGGATGAGTTATTTGTTTACTAACCTTTCTGCTCATAAAAAACACTTGATAACTATAGCCCTCTTCTAAGTGAATAAACCTTTTGGCAAATTAGAGCCAAACTATATCTTGGGAAATATTGCCAGCTCTCCCTTCGAAAACAGTGTAGTTTCCAAGTTGCATGACTACTATGAATGAACATTCTCATCAACAGAACTTCTCTCTTACTAAGTGTTACTATATCAGAACAAAGAAGTCTTGCTTTTTCTTCAACATGTTAGCTTTCCTTAAAGAGAGAATTATAGCCAAGGGGAAACAACCACTCACAGAAATATATTATATGCATTGTGTGAGCCTTCTGGTCAGACAGATCAGCTGCCTTATTGTCATCTTATGAAATATACCCAATCCCCAGAAGTCCCTGGTTTGTAATTGCAGAATAAAGGAGCGAATGCTTGTTATTTCAGACATGTGCAGCAAAAAAGCTCTGGATTAATCCCTTGCCCAATATAGAAATATCATAAATCAACTATGCCATATAATCAGACTGGATATTGGATTACTATTCAAGAAATGGTAGACTGAACTCAATTATAAGATCAGTGCTATCATAGGGGAATTCTGGAAATGTATTTCATACTGAAAGTATTTAATCATTTGGAAAGTTTGAAAAACAATAACAAACGTTTTAGATTTGCTTCTGTTTTGTTTTAGAAGACATATCTCTCTCAAACCAAAAGTGAGAGGCTTATCTTAAAGTTGAGTTCAACGCAGTTCAACAGGTTTGACAGTCATCTGTTTGAATTCCTACAATATTTGAAATAAGCACGTATGCTTAAGAACATACATTTTTTGAAAAGAAACCTCAAGCCCATTTAGTCCAGAATTATTTTGTAAATGGGGATTTTGATGACTCTTCTATCTATTGCTGCCATGAGTCATATTTTATGTTTTTAATGCCTTTTTGAAGTGGTTTGCAAGTTCAAACTGAGAAAAGCAAGCTTATCTCATCCACTTTCATACTCCATTTTTGTTTGGAATTGTATGGTTAATTTTCCAAATTTCTGTTTTCATGCTCATATACCCAGTACGCATCTGTGTCTCCTAAATGAAAGATGGGGAGCATCTGTCAGCCTGAATCTTGATGCTAAATCATCCACGCACCTGACATAAAATAGTAGTTTCTTCTTTATACCACAGCTCATTGCAGTAACTCAGGATTAGTTCAATCATATTTACTTCTAAGCAAATGTGAATAGCACTGCAAAGCCCCTTTGATCCAGAACAAATTTTGAGATAACAAGGGACAATTGATTCATTAAATTATAATCTTCAGTGACAAGTTCTTACTTGGAGAATGAGTAAGATTTCAGGGGATTAAAAGAAAAGAATGTAAACATATTTATCTAGGAAATCCAGCCATTTGCAAGATTGTGCAGTTTTACAAAACAAGTAGAACTACCCCATGACAATTTCTTTTGAAGGGGTAAGGTCTTCTGACATCAGCAAAACATGATGGCTATTTAACTGTCAACTTCTACAGTACTTCATTCACAAAGTTGTATTGCTGAGATGGAAAAACTTTTTTGCAGAAGCCCAGTTATTTATTTTCCTGGTTAAAATGTGTGTTCCTGAAGATCACCTCAGAAGAAATGCTTGCACTGAGTGGGTCAAGGGAGAGTTTCTAGTGCTTTTAAAGAGGCCACAAGACTTATACGGAGAATGGCTTGGCATTGCATCACTGACTGTAGAACTGTATTTGATTAATATGCACTCCCAGATTCCTATATACTTGGAGTACCACTAAGACAACGCTGCTCTCAAATAATAATAACAAAGATGCCCGTAGCTAGATAGGAAAGAGAAAGAAAGAGAAAGAGAGAGAGAAAGCGAGAGCAAGAAAGAGGCTTGGACATTAGCAAGAGGACCAGGTGCGCTGTGTGGAAGGAGCTTGGAATCCTGTGATACCTTCTGGGCTCCTGAGAAGGCGTGGTAGAAGCTAGAAACATAGGTCATGATGGCCTTCTCGTCAGGACGGGCTGTTCCAACAATGTCTGTCAAAGAAAACCTGAAGTTAAAGAGCATCTTAACTTAGGGGAAGTGAGAAAAGTGAGGTACTAGGGGCACCAAGTGAAGAATGGAATAACTCTTTAGCTCCTGCACATTTTTTTTACAAAGGCCTCTTTGGATCTGCTTAGGAGAAGGCTCTCCTACGTTGAAGGGAAGTTATTCGTGCTTCTTTTCCCCTTGCTTAAAAAAAAAGATTTTTGAGAAATGTGCAGATTAGCACTTGACAATAGGTAGGTGTCTATTAGGTCAGCAAAAATATGGAACTTACAACTTCTCGATAGTTACTGTACTAAATGAAACTACTATTGTTCCTCCACCCAAAATTTGCCAATTGTTTTGAATCTGCTTTTGGTCTGAGTGTTCCAAGCGTTTGTTGAGGGGTTATTATTATTTATTATTATTTTATTTATTTGTATCCCAATTTTATTATTTTTACAAATAATTCAAGTTGGCGAATATATCCACCACACCTTCCTCCTCCTATTTTTCCCACAACAACCCTGTGAAGTGAGATGGGCTGAGAAAGAGAGAGAGAGACTGGCCCAAAATCAACCAGCTGGATTTCATGGCTAAGACAGGACTTGACCTCACGGTCTCCTACTTTCTAGTCTGGTACCTTAACCACTAGGCCAAACTGATTATAAGAGTAGGTGCTGATCATTTTTCAAATTAATGTTTTTCACAGCACCTTCCTTGCTGCTATAAGGAGGAAGACAAGGAGTGAGCATGATGGTCTCTAATACAAAAATACTTTGATGTGGTTTAACTATTCATTTCTTCTTTGAGTTTTGTTGGGGTTCCATTTAAACTCTTTACCTTGAGACACCAAGTCCAGAGGCTCTCTGTAAGAACATGAGGTCTTGGGAATCTCACCTAAAACTACTTGCAGAGCATAAAGGTGAACATTAAAATCATTGTTTGATTTTGACTGTTCCCCAAAGTGGTGCATTCTAATATCTCGATCTACATGTTCCAGAGTCCCTTAGCCAATGAACTGATAACTGGAAAATTCTGGGAAATATAGTCCTGAGATATTTTAGAGAAGGCTTAAGCAAATTAAACAGTGGGCAGACTGGCCGTCACATCCTGCAGAGGGTGTTCTAAGTTTCTGTATATGGCTAAGATCTATTCTAGAAACAGTTCTCAAAATTCATGTCCTAGATGGAAGGAAACAACTCGAAAGAGCTTAGCAAACAATAAATCGTTTTCACAAACTTTAAGGAAAAAAGAAAAGGCAATGTAAAGGGACTGAAAAACAAAGGCAATGATAAAACTAGCATTCAATGCCAGTGTTGATTTCTATAACACAGGGAGCAAAAATGAGTATTTAACATCAGTATTCTAGAAGCAGATATCCAAGAACACAGGGTTTATATTGAACCTGTGTTGATCCTATTTAAAGGACAGTGGCCTAAAAAGTAAAATGTCAAGATAAACTATTTAAAAAGGGAAAAAACAATGAAGGATGACTAGTCCTTTGTTCTATTTTCTCTTTATGTATTGTAGATTGCTATCATATCACTGGTTGCTGAATAATTTGACTTGTTTGCCCAAGGTGGAACACTGAGTTAGTCAAAGACAGGTGTGCACCTATTACTGAGGCTCAAAAAGCACACCAGGGACCAGTGAAAAAAAGCATGAATGCCATTCTGCTATTATTTGTCTTAGCCCAGCTTACGTACTTTTGCTACTACATGGAGCTAATGACCATGATAGGATCTCATGACTGGAACAAAATCATGCAGGACTTAACAGATCATGTTAGAAAGTCCCAAATCTGTGCTGCTCCTACTGATATATACACAAATATTTTCTCTGTTATCCTATTAATCAAATGCCATTAGTATTGTGCAGGATCCAAAAATTTGACCAATAGGTTAAGACTGTGGTTGCTGCAGATGTATCAGGCCTTAGTCTGATCTAAATGGATCTAAATGTGTGATAAGGAGGGAATGACCTAATAAGAATCTCGGTTCTAATAAATACATAAAGGCATTTTAAGGAACCTTTTGGGGGAAGTGGGAGGAAGAGGAAGGAAGCAAAACTGGGTTTTACTATACCTTCTGCATCCAACATCTTTGGAATATCTAAGTATCTTTCAGCCACATCAAAAGCTGTATTCAGATTTGTAAGAGGGTCGTCCTAAAAATATAATGGTTTTATTAGCAATAAATACATATTACAAGAAAATACTTCAATAGCCATCAGTTGCATAGTATACTTTACTGAAAAGCTAGAAAACAGAGGAAACAAATGTAACTAAAGCACAATAGTCTTATCAAGCACATTTCTTCATGAAAAACTACTTTCTATTTTCTCAAGATTATAAATAACCTATAGGCACATTTTTATTTAGCTTTTTGAGAATTTTAATAGTAATTTTTATTACTGTATTATACAGAGGGGATTGCTATGCTTTTAATTTTCTTTTTAAAATTATTATATTTCTCCCCACTAAACTCTCTTATGGATAAGGATGGCTTTCAGTGACCCTGCTTTCTTGCATAATCATCTAACATTCAAACAAAGTCAATTCTCTCAAAGTCCTGCACTTTCAAGGTTATCATTTGACCGGACCTAGGAAATAGGCATTTTGATTGATGCCCCCATTGATTGTGGAATTCACAATCCCCATGGAGACCCACATTGTTCCTACTCTTGTAGGTTTCAGGAAAACAATTAAGATCTATTTACTTCAATTAGCACAGGAGGAGAGCATATTGTGAGTGAAGGTTGGAATCTGGTGTGGTCACGACTATTTATTATTTTGATACTTGGCAAAATGTATACTTTTTGATGTTTGCTTTTGCTTGTATTATGGGTTAACTTATGGGTTTTGAGGGATCTGCATACACACACACATCTCAGTTTAGGTTATGTACACTACAAGAAACTGAAGATGTAGTCTTGTCATTAATTCTACTATTTTCACATTTTTTAAAAAAGGAGGAGGGAAACCGGAGAATTTTGCACGCTTTGAATAGGTAGCGTCATAAACACCCTTCTATGAAGAAGAGCATTCTAGGAGCTGACAATTAAGACATTTCTTCTAAAGGAGGAAAATGAAATCCTTTTGCCCTTAACTTGGGGAACTGAATATAACAATGTTCAAGGAACAAAAAGAACCTTTTAAAAAGCTGCTGAAACATCCATTTTAATTAACTACTAAACCATGTGAATTATATTATAGATAACATTTGGAGCAAACCTACAATTATTATTACAGTTTTGTTTAAATTGTCCTTCTTTTTATAAATGTTAAACAAAGAAAGATTAGATTAACTTGATTTTCCAGTATGCCTTTTATTATTTTGTAACATATATGACCTGTTAGCTGAAATATATCCAATTATTATAACTTAGAGGCAGTTGAGGAAAAGCATTTTTAGAACTTACTGATAAATTAAATGGGTGTCAAAACTTTTAGTCAGAATCGGCAATAGGATTTAACTTTTTAACAAAAATTATAATCACAGTGATTTATCAGACCTCAGTTAAGTGAACTACAGAAACTGCGGACATTTTTTCCCTTCAGATACCTTCCCAAAATGATGAATAAATCAAACTGTATCAAAAATAATTTCAACAGTTGATTGAATTTACATCATTGGTGTAATTATTTATAATCTATAAATTGATGCAAATAAAGTCAGATGTAATGGATATTCAGCTTTAGCAGCCATGCCTTTCTTCTGAAAAGTTCATTTAACTGTATTAGGAGGTTTAACTGCACTAATACACTTTTGTGCAAACACATGCTAAACATTATTGAAATGTCACCAACTGCTATCTTTCTACCTTCTGCAAATTGAAGCAAGCATTTGAATTGCTTGAGCTAGAATTCTGAATGCCAAGGAACCATCAATCTGCTGTTAATCTAGATCAGGAGTGTCAAATTCAATTTCATTAAGGGCTGCATCAGGGTTGTGTTTGACCTCAGAGGGCTTGGGTAAGCGTGGCCAAGGTAGGCATGGCCAGCTGGACATCACTTGTGGTGGCCCAAGTGCTTTGCCAGTGAAAACAGGCTCCCAAACTCTATTTTCAGCTGGGACAGCCTCCTGCAACCCTCTGCCAGCAAAAATGGAGCATGCGGCCCTCCCGGGCTTCATTTTTGCTAGCAGAGGCATGGGCCAGTCCATCGCTGTTTCCAGGCCAGCCCTCTGGGCCAGATCTAAGCACCCCACGGGCCTTGAGTTTGACACCCCTGATCTAGTATATAACTACTTCTCTTTCCAACCTGGTGCTTTCCACATGTGTTTTGGAATGGGAGTCAGTCCAGCACATTTAGAGGTCAAAGAAGACTGCTTCATCTGAACTTTTCAGAGAATCTATTTCATCTTAGGTAGAATTATCCAAAGGTTTTATTTTTTTGGTATTATGAGCTTGAGACAGCCCAAACCAAAGTCTAATACAGTACCTTTCTTAGTTTTCCATAATCAATAAGTTCTGGACGATGTCTGTGGATCAATGCACAAAAACCAAGACCATCTTTCCAGCTATAAGAGAGATGAAACACAATTAGCTATATTCTTCAAGATGCACATGATGACTAATTTGGAAGCAAACTGAAGACAGTCTAAATCAATAGTGTTCTCTCTGCACACAACTTGGCAGAGAGAATACGGCTGATATAGATGGCATGAACCTTGGTGGGGCCGTGGTTAGAATGCAGTACTACGAGTTACTTCTGCTGACTGTCGGCTGCCAGCAGTTCGGCAGTTCAAGTCTCACCGGCTCAAGGTTGACTCAGCCTTCCATCCTTCTGAGGTCGGTAAAATGAGGACCCAGATTATTGGGGGCAATATGCTGACTCTGTAAACTGCATAAAGCACCGTGAAGCTGTATATAAGTCTAAGTGCTATTGCTAGTGCTATCTTCCAAAATTACAAATGCTATTAACTTACAACTCTCTTCATCCTGAGCCAGCACAGACAACAATCAGGGGCAATTCAAACTGTGGGCCACCATGTGGGGAAAGAAACAAGTTGACCATCTAGAGATTAATTGTCCTTGAATTTAATCAAAGTTTCTATTCATTTTTGAAAGGTCAACCAGTTTCATATTTAGAAGGACCTGGTACCGAACTAACTGTGGAATAAAAATAAAGAAGGTATATTGTTTTATCATTCACTAATGTGTATATGCAGTCAAATAATGTTACATTGTTGTTTGTCCAGTTTTGGTAAATAATAATTCCAGTTTGTCTATAAATGTAAAAAGGAATACAGTGTGACATAAGACACGAGCTGTTTTCTTTAAATGGGTGGAATATATTTACAGGCAATCCTCGACTTACAACAGTTCACTTAGTTACAACAGCATTGAAAAAAGTGACATGACCCTTTTTATGACCGTTGCAGCATCCCCATGGTCACATGACCAAAATTTGGATGCTTAGCAACTGATTCACATGTATGACGGTTGCAGTGTCATGGAGTTATGTGATCCTCGTTTGCGACCTTCTGCCAAGCAAAGTCAATGGGGATACCAGATTCATTAACAACCGTGTTACTAATTTAACAGTGATTCACTTAACAAATGTGACAAGAAAAGTCGTAAAATGGGACAAACTCACTTTTAAAAATGTCTCACTTTGCAACATAAATTTTGGGCTCAGCTGTGGTTGTAACTCGAGGACTACCTGTACCTTAACAAAACTGAGATGGGAGAGGAAAGAATAAGGACGTCAACATCTCTTGCTGCATCTCAAGATATAATATTCCTTTTCATTTTACTTCTTTATAGATTTTTGGCAGTTGTGTTGACTAACTGTATTTCAAGGGCTCAGGAGGAGGAGAACAGTAAAGAAAGTAAATGGACAAACATGTCATTAGAACATGATGCATTGCTTCCATTCTGGGCTGCTGGTATCAACCACCGTTAATGATCAACTCAGCCCTAGCTTTATCATTCAAGCTTTCAAAACCGAGGTATACACAAACAGAGATAGAAACAAGTCTGCGAGACAAAATGTTCATTTTGAAATGAATGTGTTATATGAGCGAAGCCTCTGTAAGGCAAGGATGAAGGAGGAAAAACAGTAGCAGTAGCAACTACATTCCCTTCCTTGGCTCCTCAACCCATTAGTTTGCATTAATTACTTTGTAAGTAATGTAAGAGCCATTTTACATGTCACTGTACATAGCTTAAGTCCTATAAAAGTTCTTTTCAACCACTCTCCATAGATTGCTAAACCACAGCATAACATTAGTTTTCCATTTGCATATTGAATAAACCAACACGAAATGACTTTTGCTGTCATGTTTCAAGTATAACAAAGAACTGCTGTTAAAGTTAACAACAGACGAAGGGACGAAGAAGGAAAGTGAGCCCAGAATTCATGTTTATCTTGACAACTTTTAGTTTAGCAAAGTGGGAATATAGTCTGAACTGGTCCTATCTTTCTCTTGGCTGGATAAAAGTTTTTTTTTTAAAAAAAAAAAGCTTCAGTATTTTAACATAAATACCAGGGGGAATTGCATGTGGGTCAGCAAGAAACAAATTATGAAAGCAGCATTGTGGTTTTGTGATACAAGGTCCAACTGTTTCGCAGGGATATTGTCACATACATGTAAAGAAAGGGCAAAGTTTATGTTGCATCAATGCAACATTGTTTGATAGAAACCCCAGTCCTGAAGATGTGTCTGATGCCATGGTAACGGAGGAAGAAACCTTTAGCCAATTGCAGTCTTCAAATCCTGAACTGGAAGATAGGTTCGAGAGCACAAGCACTCCATCCTCCTCCATCTAAGTCATGGGTGTCAAACTCGTGGTGTCACGTTGCCATCACGCCCTTCGCAGAGCTGAGGTGGCATAGCCTGCGCGTGACACATCCAGCCCGCAGGCCGCCATTTGACACCCCTGATCTAAGAGTTCATGTTAATTGTGAAGGTTCTTAGTGTGAGGTTTAAGAACAGCCCAGTTGATCACTAAGCAGTGTCCAAATCTTTTAGATGATTTTTTCCCCTCCAACTTGGGGCAGGCGCTGGTTGTGCAACTGAGGTATGTGACATATCAGAAAAGCAATATATTCAGAGAACTGCTCTTTATGGTTTTTACCTAATATGGAAGTTTTGGATGTTCACATTTTTGTAAGGGGCAGTTTTCCTCTGGCACCACAGCAAAAGCCCTTCTTTCGCAGATGTCTCTACAAAACAAAAGATACAAGCATTACCGGTAGTTCCAGGTTTTCTTTGATCATTCTGACCTTTGAAACCATTGAAGAGAACGTGGATGGCTCCTTTCATTTGCATTTCAGAATCTCCCAAGAACCAGTTTAAGGTTCAAAGCTCAGAGTAAAATAGTAAAAGTAAAGTAACAGTAAAACAGCCCAGAGTCTTCTGAATTGAACAGCCACAGCAAATTTTAATTAATAATAATGATACCAATAATAATAAAATACAAACTAAAATTAGCAACCTAGCAGTGAAAAAAATAATAATTTACTCAACTCAAAAGTTATGATAACTAGGTAGAAGCTTTAGAAGGCTCAATAACTTTTCAAGATGAACTCCCTTTGTAAAAAATATTGCTGTGATGGGAATGGTTGACAAGTCTTATATCAATTTGATTCTGTGCATTATATTATTTTAGTGACTGACCAAGTGCAGCATTTAATTTTTAATGCTTACATTTACATCCAGTCTTCATTCTTTTTATAAATAACAAGGTGGCAAACATATGTGATATTCCTTCCTATTCTTATAACCACCCTGTGAGGTTGGTTGGGAAGAGAATGAGTGACTGTTTCAAAGTGCCCCAGATGGCTTTCATGCCTAAGGCTGGTTTCTAGCCTGGTGCCTTAGCCATTAGATCAAATATAACCGTGATGGCGAACCTATGGCATGCAGAGGCATGCTGCCTGGCACACACGGTGTCCCCCATTCCTCTTCTGGGCTTTTGGAGTGCACGCATGCGTGATGATCTACTGGCCTTCATGTATGCAGCAATGCCATAAACTGGAAGAGCTGGTCTTCCTTTTTCCGGTGGGAGCATGCATGCCAGCCAGCTGATCATTGCGCACATATGCGCACCAATAACCAGAAGTCTAGCTGGCTGGTGCGCATGTGCATGTGCCCCCCGGAAACCGGAAGTGCATTTTATGGTGTGCGCATGCCCCCTGCCCAGCTCCTCTTCTGGGTCGTGTCCCAGAAAAGAGCACACACAGGCTACTCGAAAAATCAAATCGTCCTCTTTCTTTCTCAGGCCTGTCAATATGATGCCGCATATACAACGAATCAGTTCACAATTATTAATGTAGAACAATAATTATAAAGATGAACTAACTATAAAATAATATTAAATGAATAAAAAGGCCCAACTAAAGAGATGTATCTTGAAGCTCTTTCACAAAGTTAAACTAACCCAGACTCCTAAGGAAGCCTATTCCAAAATGTGGATAGGCAGAAAATATCTTGGAAGGAAAACTCTCCGTCCCCTGCAGATCTTAATGCCTAGGCAGGTCAGAATAACATAAATGACATAAATAACAAAGTGAAGCATGCTCTACAATGTCATGAAAGCTGTCAGTCTGTGTCAATTGCCAATTCAGGGATGTGTCAATTGCCAATTCAGGGAATCCAGACTTGGAACTCCTCAACTCTGCATTTTGTAAATAGAAGGAGCAACTTTCAGATACCTCAGTGCAATTAATCAAGCAGAGGAGGCACTAACTTCCAGCTGACGTGCCAGTATCCTTCATTCAGTGTATACGTTTCATGCTCTTTCCTTGAGGCAGCTCGTAATATAATCTTCCTCGTCATAACTATCCTTGGAAGAGATGAGAACCTGTTGGGATTTACCTTCTACTGAGATATCCTGAATGGCAAAACGAAGGATGATGGTCCAAATCATGCCAAGCGTCATTTTTGCATTCCCATCAACAATCTCTGTAAAAAAAAGAAAGAAAAAGAAATGTAGCAGTTGAACAACCAAAAATAAACAAACATGTTTCCTTAAAATAATTATTAATCCAGCAGCAGACACCCCCTGAAGCCTATGATGGGAAGAGGGGCAGAAGGCACATAAAAACTCCCTGGACTTATGAAGAAGATCAGCAATCATCCGCTGAGGAGAAAAAGATCAAAATCCTCTGAATGTTTATTGCTTCTCTGATCTGATTTGAACGGTTTGGTTTTCTTTTTAATATCTTTCTGTTTATTTATTTGACTGATGTATATGATGCCTTTCTATTTGACTGCTGAAGACAGTTTACAGTTTAGGTTTTAGCACATCCTGCTTTCAGAGGGTTGGCATGAGAACCTGTTTTTAAAAACCAGAAACAACAGCTGGGCTCAGTCAATGTTTAAAAAAAATATGATCTGGTTTGGTGAATTAGCCCCCTTTCACAATTTGTAATATTTAGAAATGGGCTGCATGTTTACTGGCGTTACACAATGCCTTTGTCCACATCAGCACATATAAGGAAGTTCAGTTCCTATCAACTGGTTGAAGAATCTTGAAGGTAGTCAAGAGAAAGAAATCAGATTGTCTTTCTGGCCAATATGATGCTCAGAGATTCCCAGCAGATTTTGGTTTCCCCCAGGATTTCAGCTAGCGAGTTCCTCTAATAGCTGTGACCCTGCAGCTGAAAATTAACAATAAAATGCTGGCACTTCCATAAACATTTCTCCTCCACTTAGAACTCCATAGAGATGCAGCTATATCCTTCTTTACAAAAACAACAGAATCTTGTGATTTCTTAAAGACTCGTCTGTTGCATAAGACTTCCTGGATCACTAATGAGATTCGTAGAGCATTGCCCTGAGAAAGGAATATATAGAAACCCACTGTTGCTATGGATGGTAGGAACAGAGAAAGTAAAAGCGAAGAAATAAAATGCAGGTGGTAAAACCACAGAATTTATTTAAGTGGTCGTTCATTATACAGTTTGGGTTATAACAGATATTTTGGCATCAAACTAACAGTGTTATGTGATAAGAAAAAAAAACTTGTATGTTTAACCAGAAAGGTGTTAATTCTTTTAATTACTTGAAACTTGATTGCCCTATTACATGAAAAAAAAGATTTATCAAGCCCACCCAATCCAAACAACACTATCTTAAGCTATATTAATGAGCGTTAAGGTGTTTATATCCACCTTATATCCAGAAGACAGACGCTATTGTTTGAAATGTTCAGCTGTTCAAAAGAATTGCCTAGATCAGCTGAAGGATTCACTCCAATAAATCACATCAGTATTAACAGCAGGTGCATATATAAAGCTCCTAGTTCAGGAATAATACTAATAACAACAGCAATAATACTAATAACAACACCCCCAGTGTTGTTGGAGGGACACTACCTTGATGTGGTTGTGGGCCTTGTATGCTCTGAGAAAGATGAGAGGTAGCCACAGGTTCAACCATACTTAACACTCCTACTTAATCAGGAGTCAGACAGAGTGTCTCTCCCATAAAAAAAATATGGTGAGATGCAGATTTCAAAAAGTCCAGTCTGAACATCTGGGTGTATGATGAACCATAACAATACTATCAAATATACACATCTGCCTATCCAAGTCATTGGAAAGGACTCAATAGTAGACAAAAATGCTAAATCTAGTCTGAACATCTGGCAGACTGTGTGACAAACCACAACAGCAACAACAACAACAACAACACAAAGCAAAGGTAGTATCAATCGTGACCCGTCAAAAGCGCGGACGGCAAAAGCGCGATCGACAAAATCGCGCCTTTGACGTCATCACAGCGCGACGAAAAAGATCGAAAAATTCAAATAAATAAAGTAAATAAAAGACTGAGTGTTACTGC